AGGAGAAGCTGCCGTTCCTCAGGTAGATCCAGCTCTGATCAGGTTCAGCTCTCCTGAGGTCGATGTTAGCGCCAGCCTGACGTAACGTCTCGCTCTCCACACCTCCCTGACCGCCGCCCACCCTACACGCCTCGCCGCCCGCCCCTCAGAAATGACGTGTCTTCTGGCTCTCTGCTCTCCATCCCAGCTGCTCCGTCTGTTTGTCTTCAAGGACTTGATCTGTGGAAGGATCTTTCTTTTTTTTTCTGGGTTGATTGTGCTGTGTCAGCTAAGTGACATCATTCAGTGGAGCAAAGCATGCTGGGAGCTGCAGAAGCTGAAAGGATGGGGTGAGGGTGGGCAGGCTTTTACAGTAATGAGTTCCTCTCCTAGATGGGATGGAGGGGGGGGGGATGGCGGCCAAGGCTTCTGCTAAGTGACGGAGTCAAGGACAAATGAAAGTTCCTGAAAGTTGGATAAAACCAGCAAACCTTCTGAAAATAGTTTAAAACAGTAAAAACGCAGTGAAGAACGTTGATCAACCAAAGGCAGAAAACATCTCATCTATGATGGATGTTTGATGGCGATAACCTGCATGTTGATCCGTCAGACCGTCTCCATCCTTCACTCTCATCGATCTTTGTTCTCCTGCAGCTGGTTTTTCATGGAGGAGAGAAGCTGAACAGTTTTTACTGTTTCTGAGGATTTGAACTCACATCTGTTTAAACTACTGTAAACTTTCCACATTTATTAATAAATAAAACTGAGAGAAGCAGATGTTGGATATCAGCCCCCTGGGTGAGACCTTCACAGATCATCTGATCCAGAACCTGACCGCTGCCCTTCATCCTTAACCACCATCCTCATCTTCACGGCGTGTCAGCCTGTTAGAGGCATCAATCATTTACGGGATGATGGGATGGTCCAAGGCGGAGCTCCGCTGGTCACTGCGGTCCTCTACGCTTTGGAAATAGTGTTTTTAAATTACGCATTAAATCTGTAAATGTTCCATATAGTGACGCTTAAAGTATAATATTATCGCCTCAAATCATCTTAAAACGTTCTTTTATTGAACAACAGAAAGAGAACTTTTAACTTTAAGCTGCGTCAGTGAATGCTTCTGTTTCTCCAGCGCCGTGCAGCTTCATCGTCACGCCCTCAAAACCCCGCCCACTTTGCATCTAGTCATTCAAAACACATCTCTGCGCTGTGATTGGCCCGCCAGTTCTAGGGCCTGGGGCATTGATGGAGGATAGACCACTGCAGGCAAAGATGACGGCGGGTGGGGCTGGTTCACTAGGCGAGGTTGATGGGACAGGTGTTGTGAATGAAACGGTTACAGGGTAAAAAATCTGCAGACCTCTGAGGACCCCCACAGAGGTGCATGGGGGTCACAGACCCCCTGCTTTAAGTTTCTAACCCTCTCCAGCAGGAGCTTCTGCTCGCTCGCCATGTTTGGATCTGTCTGCGTATTTACACATTTTCCTCGGTGGGAGGTGTGTAAATTGTGCCTGAACTAACGCCATGTGGGGGTGGGGGGGGTTGAAAATGACGTAATTTCCTGGAAACATGAAGCATAAACCAGCTTTACTCTGGTATCCGTCCTGGATGTGTCCGAACACCCGCCCTGACCTCTGACCCCTCCATCACCATGAGGTGAACTTTGTAGTTCACTGTCTGCTCGGATAGATGGTCACATGACTCCGCCACCCCCCACACACACACTGCCACTTTGACTCCGCCTCCCCTACCGGTGACTCTGCCTCGCCCCATGCTATCGCAAAGCATTCTGGGATATATCTGCCCATCTAGTGACCATGGATGATCACTTCCTGGGAAATTTGGAGTCCACTACTTTTTCCTCCCCTGGATGTTCAGACGCTCCTCTAAAATGGCATCGCCCCGATATAGCGCCCTATAGGGCGGCTGTTCGCTTCCAGCCTCTGATCCATAATGAGCCACGTGCTACCACAGTGGGTGTTTCACCTGCAGGGGGCGCTGTTAGGAATCATTGCAGCGTAGAATGAGTGAGACTCTGAAGCAGAAGGTGTTTCAGTTCTGAGGCTGTGAGCCGTTAGCTCTGCTTGCTAGCAGCTCAGTTTCAATGGAAACTTTGACCTTTCAGGGTCTTTAGTTACGATCAAACAAAACATTCAACATGTCAGTTTGGTGCCAACAGAACATCAGTCAGACTAAAAGGCAGCTCTGAGGAGGGATGTGCGCGATTGATCAAGTAAACAAATTAAATTGGATCCCTATTTGTCACCAACACAGTCCTGCAGTAAATGTAATTATGTTTGATTAATGAGCGGCTGAACGATGTCAGATAATAACCGATCCTGAGCTGAGAAGCTGGAAAAACACTCAACTCTGCTGCTTCTGTTGCTTCTAATCACAAGGTTTCTGCAGGTTTTACTCTGGACCCGCTGGGATCTGGTCCCGCTGGGATCTGGTCCCGCTGGGATCTGGTCCCGCTGGGATCTGGATGAACTGAGATCTGGTCCCGTTGGGTCCTGGTCCCGTTGGGATCTGGTCCCGCTTGGATCTGGTCCTGCTTGGATCTGGTCCCACTGGGATCTGGTCCCGTTGGGATCTGGTCCTGCTTGGATCCGGTCCCGCTGGGATCTGGTCCCGCTGGGATCCGGTCCCGCTGGGATCTGGTCCCGCTGGGATCTGGTCCCGTTGGGATCTGGTCCGGCTGGGATCTGGTCCCGCTGGGATCTGGTCCCGTTGGGATCCTGTCCCGCTGGGATCCGGTCCCGTTGGGTACTGGTTTCACTGGGTCAGGCTGTTTCACTCTCTGGGGTTTTCCTGGTGTCCATTTTTGGGTGGATTGATTTTCTCTGTGGTCTTGTCGTTCGATCTCTTCCTTCCACCATCTGCTGTAGCATCTATGTGTTGTAGCTCCTCTGCTGCTCCTGTTTCCTGTTTATTGATGGTTATTCTACCTCTTAGTGGAAATGTGTGAATTGATCTGTGCAGGAAGCAGTCGCCCTGTGTGAGTGCAGCTGTGTAATTAGCATCTGTCTGTTCTAACAGCTCTAGATCTACACTTCTTCAGGTGCGGTAGTGAAATTAGGGTCAATTACCTGATCGAGTAGAAATGTTGGCTCCTCCGTTCTTAGAGCGGCTCTTTGCTGAAATATGAGCCTGAAGACCAGAGCTAATGTGTCTGTTTCCATATTCATTAAGCAGCAAACAGACTCTACAGCATCAAGCTAATCATCTGTGTAGCTTTTAGTTTAATTGATCTTTAATCAGCATAAATGCCACATTTGTTTGGATGCTCTGAAGTCGACATAAAAAGCTGCGATGCTTTTAGAGGGAGTGGTGGGACGGTGAGATGATTGAGCAGAGTAGTGGGGATGATCCATGTCTCCGTTTTGCTCTGAGAGCTTTTCTCTGCATCATGCAGCCTCAGGTTAAAGTTTTCTAATCATAGAAACAGAATCCTTCATCCATGAATGTGAAACAGAATATTTCTGTCAGTTAAACTGTGACGCTCCAAGCGAAGCAACGATCAAACCGCTTATTTCTGGTGTTTCTCTCTTAAAACGATGAAGATTTCAAACCATCAACTTCAGGCCAGATTTCAGGAGACATCGCTGACGGCTCCTGGTCCAAGTCCGTCCCTCCGGTCACAGCGAGTCCCATTACGTCCACATCCAGTCAGCAGCCTGGACATCAGAGCCAAACTCCAAACCAAAATGATTCTCAGCTGTTCGTCCATCTGGCCTCCCTCCTGCAGGACTCGCTGCCCAACGGCTTTTCTTGTTGGTGGTGGGGTGTAAACAGGGGGGGGGGTCATGCACTGCAACAGAAGTCGTCTTTCTAATTGCCTGAATCCAGATAGTAAACATCTCATTTTAGCAAATCATCAGTAATTAGGGGTCAACAGAGGTCAATAAATGGTCTTTATTTCAGACTAGATTTAAACATGATATTTATGTCCTGCTTTCTAATCCAGGGTTAAGGTGCTCAGCAGCTTTGCTCATCAGCTGGGACCTGGTCCCACTGGGTCCTGGTTTCACTGGGATCTGGTCCCACTGGAATCTGGTTTCGCTGGGATCTGGTCCCACTGGGTCCTGGTTTCGGCTGTTTCACTCTCTGGGGGTGAAACAGCCTTAATGGAATAGTTACGTAGAGCTATGGCACATAGACTCTAAAAAAAGCTGAAAGAGAAACACACTACTTACAGCAGCCACTAAGAAAAACAATAGATTTATAGTTTTTTATTTTTATATATTTTTTCAAAGTTTCAGGTGATTGTTTATAGTTTAACTAGACGTGCTTCTGTGGCGCTGTAGCTAGCGCTTCTGTGGCGCTGTAGCTAGCGCCAGGCCTGCAACTAACGATTATTTTTTAAATCGATTAATCTGTTGTTGTTTTTTTTTTTCAATTAATCCATTAATAATTGGATTGCAAATATTTCCTTAGAGAAGAATTTTCACTAGATTAAACCAACTGAAACTACAACTTTTCCACTTGAGGACTTCTGGATTATAGAGCTGATTGACAGACAAATACTGAATGTTTTTAATTGCAACTGAAGGTAAACTCCAGTTAACCATTAATTGACGAAAAAAATCAGTTAATGAGTATTTAAGTAATTGATTAATCTGATTAATTGTTTTAGCCGTAGTTAGCACATCCCGCTAACGCTAACCCCATGTGCAGAGGCCTTAGTCCTCGTCATGGCCGCCCGGGTTCAAATACACCCTTTGGTCCTTTGCCTCATGTCCCCCCCCCATTCCCCCTTTCCTCTCAGCCCACTGTATAAAAAAAAAAAAAAAAGAGCCATTAGTGCCGTAAAAACCTAGAAAAAAAGATCATTAATTGATTAGTAAAATCAGAGACAGCTGCAGCCCCAAATCAGACCCTAGAATAAGAGGACCTCACTATTGGTACCATTGCTGATTTCACCCACATTATTTTAATCACATAATTTTAAAATGATTTAGAGCTGAACTGATTTGGACCAAATACCCTCTGAGGATTTCTAATAAAATCTGCTCCTTTTTCTCTCTGACGCTGGTTTTCCTCTCAGGCCCACCTTCCGTTACTTCACCTGGTACACGTGCGTGCTGGGCATCATCGGCTGCGCCATCATGATGTTCCTCATCAACGCCATCTACGCCTCGGCTAGCATCGCCTTCATGCTGCTCCTCCTCCTGCTGATTCACTACCTCAGCCCCACGTCCAGCTGGGGATACATCAGCCAGGCTCTCATTTTCCACCAGGTCTGACACGCACACACCCAGAAACACGCTCTCACTCCTGCTTGTCATTTCTATAGCAACTAAAATCTCATCCCCTTCGCTTTACACGGAGCTGTACGTCTGCCAAGCAATCGTTCTATCAGCTTTATAGACGCCGCACACACACAGTCTCACTGCCACGGCTCTCTCCTGCCTCAACAAATCGTTTTACATTTAGCAGAACACACACACGTTCCCTCTGCTTTTTTTTTTCTGCCGTACACATTAAAGCTTGTCGTTCCTACAGCCGACATCTATCAAGTTTATATCAGGCTTAGCAGACGTTAAAACACACCAACACACACGCGTCTGCTTCTGTTCCCTCGATGAAGCTCTCTACATTTATGGAGCAAACACACACTCTCCATCATTCAGCTCGCCCTGTCCTCTGTCGCTGTTTTAGAGAAGAGGGGCCAATGTTGTCAGAAGGGCCCGGAGCCGAGGGGAGCCGTTGCCAACGCTGGAGGCGGGGGTTATGGGCAGGGAGGGGGAGTTGGCTGGGTTTACCAGCAGCTTGTCAGGAGACAGAACATTATTACAGCTTCTTAATTTATTTTGCCTTTTCCCTCAAACTGTTTTCTTAGTCTGCTCTCCTCACACACACACTCACTCTCGTCTCTATATGTAGTCAGGACCATGTGTTAAAAACTTCCTCTGTTTAACCGTTTCTATGCCTTAAGACTAACCTTAACCGACCATTACTAGACCAGCCCTGACCCTAAACCAACCATTACTAGATAATCTCTGACCTTAACCAACCATTACTAGATCATCCCTGACCTTGACCAACCATTACTAGATCCTCTCTGACCTTAACCAACCATTACTAGATCATCCCTGACCTTAACCTACCATTACTAGACCATCCCTGAACCTTAACCAACCATTACTAGATCATCCCTGACCTTAACCAACCATTTCTAGATCATCTCTGACCTTAACCAACCATTACTAGATCATCCCTGACCTTAACCAACCATTTCTAGATCATCTCTGACCTTAACCAACCATTACTAGATTCTCTCTGACCTTAACCGACCATTACTAGACCATCCCTGACCTTAACCGACCATTACTAGATCATCCCTGACCTTAACCAATCATTTCTAGATCATCTCTGACCTTAACCAACCATTACTAGATCCTCTCTGACCTTAACCAACCATTACTAGACCATCCCTGACCTTAACCAACCATTACTAGACCATCCCTGACCTTAACT